AGGAAGGAAGGAAGGAAGGAAGGAAGGAAGGAAGGAAGGAAGGAAGGAAGGAAAGGAGAAATTCATGGAGCTATAGCTGCAGCTAGCAGCCTAGCACTTTTTGCAAAATACTTTGTCATGTATTGAAAATGTAGTTTTTCCGTAGGTGGAGGATTACTATAAGAAAGGCATATATATAGACTCTAATGATTCCAGAAAAAGTGAAATCATGACATGACAATTTAAAAATAAAATAGATGGTGAAGGCTCAAAAGGTGCAGAATTTAATGCCAGCAAAGGATGGTTTGATAATTTCATAAAGAGATTAAAAAATGCCAGGATAACAGAGGAAGCAGCTTCTGCCAGTCAAAAGGCAGCTGGCAACTTCCCAGACACCATGAAGAAAATCACTGGGAAAAATAATATCTGCCTGAACAGATTTTAATGCAGATGAAAGTGCCCCTATTCTGGGAAAGGGTGAAAATGACACAAAGGACATTTATTAGTAAGGAAGAGAAGTAACCACAAGGTTTAAGAATGAGGGATACAGGCCATTTTGTGCAAATGCAGCTGAGTTTATGATCAGGACTGCCCTTATGTATAAAGCTGCTAACTCTGAGCCTTGAAGGGAGGCGATAACACGAGTTGCCACTAACTTGGTTGTACAACAAGAAGGCCTAGACAATGAAACATAATGAAAAGATGATCCATGACACATGACATTAAGGAGACACAAATTAAAGCAATAATGAAATACCACTACATAACTATTAGAGTAGCCAAAATCCAGAACACTGACAACACAAATGTTGATGAAGATGTGAAACTGACGGGAATGAAAAATGGTGCAGCCCCTTTAGAAGACAATTTGGTAGTCTTTTTTTTTTTTCAAAATAAAACACACTCTTACCACAAGATCCAGCAATCAGTCTGCTTGGTATTTACCCAAATCAGTTAAAAATTGATGACTACACAAAAACCTGTGCATGGATGTTTGTAGGAGCTTTATTGCTGTCAAAACTGGGAAGCAACCAAGATGTTCTTCAGTATGCAAAGGGATAAATAAGCTGAGGTAAATCCAGACAATGAAATATTATTTGACACAAAAATTATAAATTATCAAATCATTAAAAGACATGGAGGAAATGTAAATGCATATTACTGAGTGAAAAAAAGCTAATCAGAAAAGGCTTTATATTATGTGATTTCAACAATATGATATTCTGGAAAAGGCAAAACTATGGAGCTAGTCAAAGAATCAGTGGTTTCCATGGGTTACGGGGCAGAAAAGATGAATAGGCAGAGCACAGAATTTTAAGGTAGTGAAGCATCCTTCGTATCCTGCAGTATGAAGCCATAATGCTGGATACATGTCATTATACATTTGTTAAAACTCCTAAAATTTACGATATCAAAGATAAACTCTTATATAAACTATGGATTTTAGTAAAGAGTGATGTCAATATAGGTTCATCCATAGGAACAAATGCACCAGTCTGAGGTGGGATTTTGATGGTAGGGAGAGCTGTGGGTATGTGGGGATAGAGGATATATAATAACACTCTGTACTTACTGTTCAAATTTGCTATGAACCTAAAACTTTTCTAAAAATAACATCTATATAAAGACCTTTTTAAAAAATTAAAGAAAAAAGAAACATACAAAGCTTTTATTTCAGAAGACAAAAGTCAATCCCTCACTCGGGACAAAAGAATTTAACTTCTGTGGCTAGTCACTTACTCTCGTGAGCAGAAAAATAATAAGAGATAAGTGTCTAAGCTTTAGACTGCTTATTCATAATCTTGAACTAAGGAAAATAAGTCCTATGAAAAACGTGTCTGCAGTAGTGAATGGATAGTTAAACACACTGATGTAAGCAAACTCATTCCAAGGATAGGGCTGAGAGGGACCATGAAAGCCCTATAGCCAGGAAAACATGCAATGGATTGTGGATGCACGTCTGCACTAGGGTCTATGTGTTTTAAAGATAAGGAGTAAAAATACATAAATCTGTTATTTGCATCTTAGATCTAGCTGGTTTGAGTGTGTTCTAATACAAATATGTGATGTAAGCCACACACATACTTTTAAAGTCTCTAGTAGTCATATTTAAAAGCAAAAATGAAACAGGTGAAAATAATGTAATAATATATTTTATTCAACCCAATGTATCCAAAATATTATCGGTTCAACAGTAATCAATATAAAAATTATGAATGGGATGTCTCACACTCTTTTTCCATATTCTTTAAAATCTCATGTACATTTTATACTTAGAGTATACCTTAATTTGTATGCTAAATATTAATCAGAAATAATTGATTTTTAATTAGAAGTAATAAAATGTACAGTTAAAAAGTAGATTCACATCCCTAAGTTGTCCCAAATTTTAAAAGTTTTACAATTACTGCATTGAGTATCAATTTTAAACTTTATCAAGTTTAAATTAATTAAAATTGAAAATTTAGTTCCTCAGTAGGACTAGCTACATTTCAAATACTCCGTAGTCACTTATGCCTGGTGGCTACCATACTGAACAACAAAGTTCTAATTAGTTGAAAATTTTATGTGGATAAATTGAATATCAGTACAATTAAGTAAAATGAGTTTGGCTATAACATTTAAATCCCTTGTCACATAGCACACAAATGAGGGTAAAATCATTACCACTGGAAAATTGGTAACCGGTTAAATACCCGGGCACTATTCACTGAGACCCAATAAACAGCTTTTGCAGTCCTAAAGGACACACACTGAACATGTGGTCAGGTGAAAGTATACAGGTCAATAGACAGTTTCCATCTTTATCCTCTTCTAAAATTCACAGTCATGGTTAATAGCCTCAGCATTATAAGAATGTGATAAAAATCATGTTCATTCTCAGATCCAGTAGAACTAAATCTGTAATAAAATTTCCAACTAAAGATGATCTATTTGGAAGAATTGACAGGTTTTTAAATTATGAAAATACTTAAAATATTAGCCGCTACTTAAATAATTAATGTAACAAGGAAACAATGGTTTGATGAAAATGAAACTCTTACAACAACAAAATGCAGAATTTCTTCTTCGTCCAGTTCGTTTTTCAATTTTCTGAACAAACTTTGCATTGCTTTGCAAGGTCCACACCAAGCTTGGTAAACATCAATCACTGGAAGATGATGATATTTATGAAAGAATGAATTCAGCACATCTAGAAGAGAGTTTAGGCTGGACCTGGGGAGGGCAAAGACACGGCAGGATTCCTGGACAAGGAGATGAGTGGCAGTCTAGAGGCACAGGGAGCCATGAGGTCCTATGCCAAACCCCCAGTGGCGGGACAGTGGGGGAGTTCCTGTACCTGTTAAGCCTTTGTTCTGCAGCATTTCATCCCACTGGCTTTGATTATTGATGACTGTCTGCAAAAAAGAAAACCTTGTAAAAAGTTATCAAGTACCAGTGCATGAGATAAGGAATTGATGATGTCAGACCCACCTGTAACTGGACTTCTCGCTTTTTGCTTGCCATTTATCTACTGCCATAAGTAAAAGGAAGACATATATTTTAAAAAAATTAGGAGAAAATTTAAGTAATAGTCCTTTATGTATTCAAATAGTATCTTACTGTACTATAGAAATTTTCCTCGACCAAATACTGGATTTTTCTGGCTCACCTTTGCTGGAGAGAGATAGGAAGGCCTGTGTGTGCTGGGTTCTATGCTAAATGCTTATAGATGCCATACTATCTTATTCTCCCAACAATAGGAGTTACAGTTTGTTTGGCTTGTTAAAATTGTTTTTGTTTGTTTTCTTGAATGGTTATAGAACATTATATTTTTATTTGCATACATATTAGTTATTTATGAACATTCTCGTGGAACTTTGTAGGGTCCCTCTTCAGATCTTCCCACTTCAAGAATATTTAATTTTTAAATGAAGTTACTAATGGGTTCTGTAACATAAATTTTTTCACAGGTTTTAAATCTGTGGAGTCAAAACTCCCTATTCAGTGGTTCCAGGGACTGTGTAGAGCATGAGTATAGGTGACAAAGACACTTGCATATAACAAAAGAATGATCACAAACAGACTATATCCCATCAAAGGTGTTGGACGCTGGGACAAGCCTTACACAGAATAGATACTCCTCTAAGCTACACAGTCATGGTCTTCACAGCAACTTGGATGCAGCCAGAAAACATCACACTAAATGAACCATCACAGAAGCAAAGAACTCAATACTCCATGTTCTCACTCGTAAGTGTTGCCTGAACACTACTCACACTAGCCCAAGAACAGGATCCGCAGACGCTGGGCACTGCTAGGTGAGGGAGGGAAGAAGGGGGAGGGGGGTCATGTGACAACACATCGGGTACCTGGTCCACTACCAGGGGGAGAGAGGGCCAGCTAGAAGCCCACACCTCACCTGCATGCAACTAACTTATATAGGTAATCCCCACTTGTACCCCACAACTCTGAAATAAATTCAAATAAATAAGTAAACAGAGAAAAAAGTAGAAGGAAGAGGAGGAGGAGGAAGAGGGGGAAGGGGAAGATAGCACCAAGGATCTACATTAGCTTCCTTAATGAGGCCTGTGGCCATTTGCAGGGTGAGCTCTGCGAAGTCTCAGTACCTGGGTGCCAGACAGGGCCCGGTGCTGGGGCTGGCAGGGCTCTTGCTTTGCTGTTGTCCCAAGCTAGTCCATTTAAAGAAAGCAGAGAAATATGCTCCACCTGGCTGAGAAGATGAAGGGCGTCAACGTTTCCTCCAATCTGCCCACCCGCGAGGCTGGCCCTATCCTACCCGTGGGCGGCGTCTCGAGGCTCCTCCCCGGTCACCGAGTGCGTATACGTGGGCAGCGGCAAGAGCAGTTGGCCCCTAGAGTCTTCCACCTCTTATGTCGTCACACTGAAGGAATAACGAAATCCCGGTTGCACTGGCACAAGACGCCTTGTCTTCCTCAGATGCTTTATCCCCAAGCCCCTATCCCTCATCCCCGCCATTCCCTGAACCCCATCCGCCTATCCTGCCTATCCCGCATCTCAATCCCCTGACCCGTCGGTCCCCCGCATCCCCAGGTGCACGCGAGAGTGCATTTTCCTACGTGCAGATCTGATCATACTTCTCGTTGGCTTTGAATCCTTCCATGGCTTGTCATGTTTTACAGTATAAAATGTGTCCTCAAGTTGGAGCAGAAGGCTCTCTGCCCCAGCCCCAGCCTTTCTCCATCTTCAGCTGTCTTCTCCATCTGCACTTGTTCATCTGTTCGTCTTCCTTCCTGCCTGCCTCCCTTCCTCCCTCCCTCTCTCCCTTCCTTCCTTTTCCTCTTTATTTTTCCTTCGCTATTTAAAAATAATTTTAGAATTTTAAAAAGTTGCAAAAAATAGTACACAGACGACCCACAAACCCTTCCCTCAGCTTCACTTAAGGCTAGCATCCTTCCTAACCTCGTACCATGGAATCCAAGAAACGATATTTAACTACTCTATAAACCTTATACATATCTTTGCAGTTTTCCCACCAATGTCCTTTTTCTGGTCCAAGATTGAATCGAGAGTCCCACATTACATTTTGTTGTCATATCTCCTGTAATCAGGGACAGTTCCTCTGGATGTTCTTTGTCTTTTATAGCTTTGACACGTCTTTTTTTGTTGTTGATTATATCATTTGTATGAAGAGTATGTTTAAGAACCGGGCACAGTGGCTCACGCCTGTAATCCCAGTCCTTTGGCAGGCTGAGACAGGAGGAACACTTGAGCCCAGCAATTCGAGACTGCAGTAAGCAGTGATCATGCCATGCCTGGGTGACAGAGTGAGATCACAAATAGCTTAAAGTGTTTAAATGGTAGTTAAAAAACACACATCGTAAAATAGGCTATCTTAGCCATTTCTAAGTGTACAGTTCCTTAATCTTAAGTATATTCACATTGTTGTGCAACCAATCTCCAGAACTTTTTTTCTGAAAAAGTTCTCTGAAACGGAAACTGTACCTTTAAACAACGCCCCATTCCAGCTACCCCAGGCCCTAAAAATCCCCGTTTGACTTTCTCTTTCTATGAAGTATCTTTTTTTAAACATACTCTTCTGTTTTTGCTATGTGAATTCTATCTTCTTTTTACTTACATTAACACGTCTTTTAGCTTGTTCTATTTTCCCTTCTTCTTGAAATATAAATTCTCCCGTTTATTGGATCTGCTGCCTTTCCTTCTGGTGATTCCTTCCCTTTTGGTGTCTGTGACTTTTGACTGAGCTACTCTTTAAAAGGGAGTGCTTTCTTTTGAGTCCTTATAGCAGGACTATGGAAGTACATCAACACTATGGGCCTTTGCCTGGTCCCACTAATATCCTGGGTACTAAACCAGTTGTGTGTTAATTTTTCAGCTTGGCTTTCCTATTCCATGGAGACAGTTGAAAATTTATCTGCCATCTATGGATGACACAATCCTGGGACCTGATTTCTCACTGTGACACTGTGATATAATAAAAAGATATATATTTTATCTCCATCTTGTGTTCCTGGCACAGAGCTCCTAAAACCTTTGTAATTTCCTAAGTGATAAGGGTTCTAGGAACATCTTTGGTGCTGATACTTAGTCTTCAATCCCAGGATCCCACTGCCTGACACAGACCTCCGAAATCTCTTGGAATTTCCTGGGTGATAAGAGAGACTTTTGTTCTAATTCAGTGACTTTTGGTTGGTTCCTGAATTGCATTAAGATGGGGGCTGGTCACCTGAAAGACCAAGCCATGATTAGAAGCTTGAAACTTTCAGTCTTATTCCTTCCCCCATCCTATGGAGAAGGGGACTAGGATGAAGACTGCTCATGCCAATGTGATGAAACCTCTATAAAAATCCCTAAAGTATGGAATTCAGAGAGTGTCCAAGTTGGTGAACAAACTTATGTGCCAGGTGGTTGACACACACCAACTCCACAGGGACAGGTGCTCCTGTGCTGGGAACCCTTTAGCTGGCTGTCTATTTGTATCCTTTATTTATCCTTTATAATAAACCAGTAAACATAAGTAAGTGTTTCCCTGAGTTGTGTGAGCCATTGTAACAAACAGTTGAACCTGAGGAGAAAGTAATTGGACTCCTCACTTTTCACTAAGTTGGGCAGCAGTGTGGGTAACCTGGGGACCCACTGGAAGGGGGCAGTCTTGTAGGATCAAGCCCTTATTCTGTGGGATCTGTACTAATTCCATATAGTGTCATAATTGAATTGTGGGACACCCAGTTGGTGTCTAGAGATTTAGAAAGGCACCAACTGGGTGTCCCACATTTCAATTATTGGTTGTTGTGAGAAAAATTCCCACACATTTTGGTAACCAGAGTGTTATTGTGAGTATACTAAAGAAAGAAACAGATGGAGTTTTTTTAATTCACTTACTAGTGACATTTTATCCACATAAAATTCCATATGGATGTCAAGTATCCTTTTCCCTTAACCTAAGCATGTTGGAGGGGAAGTCCTATTTCAGAAATGGAATATTGTATCTTTAGTTCTAGTGAATGTACAGGTAGTTCCAGCTACTATGAACGTGGCAGATGACTCCTAGACTCTCAACCCCATACTATAGTATGAAGACGTTGATATTAGACAGCCCAGCCTCACCTATGAAGGCTTGTTAGTCATTCTAATATTACAGTGAATGCTTTCTGTTTCAGTCAAGCTCATAGGATTTGATTTATTGTTTTATTTCTCCTGCCTAGGTAGTTTTGTCTGTCAGTTTTGAGCCAACCTAAAAACTTTTAAAACAAAAATATGAATTATTTTATTCAATAATTTCATGTTTGGATGAGGCTGGGCATATTTCTGCATTAGCTTGGTCATTATGTAGTGTCCTTTTGCATCTTTGTAAAGTTATGACATATTAGATAGGAAATTCTTAGTTGAAATTGTTTATCTTTGAGGACTTTGAATATTGGAATCCAGTCCCTTTATTCCACTGTGGTCTGAGAATGTGCATGGCAAGATTTCAACATTATAGAATTTGTTTATGCTTCTCAGTCCTCTAGTCTTCCCAGATCAGGGCTCTGAATTTGTTCTATTTTGAAACAGATCTGTACATGGAAAGTGTTGCTCTCTCTTCGAATTTTGAGAGTTGAATAAGGTGGATGATAGGTAGCTAAGATTCAGAAACTACTTGCAAATCATAATGATTATGGCAGGTTCTCTTCTTCCCAGTGGTTGTTGTTGGAGGCTTTGTCAAAGATGAGTTGGTTGAGAAATTGAGGCTTTGTTTCCAGAATCTTTATCCTGTTCCATTGGTCTATATGCCTGTTCTTGACCAGGCTGTTTTGTTTATTGCAGCCTTATAGTAAAGTTTGAAGTCTGGAAGTGTGATATCTCCTACTTTGTTTCTTTTGCTAAGGATTGTTTTGGCTATTCGTGGTCATTTATGTTTCCTTATGAATTTCTGTATTGTCATTTCCAGGTCTGAGAAGAATGATGTTGGTAACTTAATGGGTATTGCATTGAATCTGTAGATTACCTTTGGTAGGAAGGACATTTTACAATGTTGATTCTTCCTTTCCATGAGCTTGGAATTTTTTTCCATTTGTTTGTGTCTTCTTGGATTTCTTTGAACAGTGTTTTGTAGTTTTCATTGTAAAAATCTTTCACTTCTCTGGCTTGGTATCAGCTTCTCCTTGTATGTTTTGTAGAATTCTGCTGGAAAGCCATCCAGTCTAGGGCTTTTTTTTTTTTTTTTCTGGGTAGTTTTCTTATGACAGAGTCAATTTCCTGGGTTGTTATTGGTCTATTTAGTGTTTTAATGTCTTCTTGTTTCAACCTGGGGATGTGTGATGTCTGAAACTCCTCAATTTCATTTAGGTTATCAAGTTTGTTTCCATACAGGTGTACATAGTAATCTCTGATAATCCTTTATAATTCTTCAGGGTCAGTAGTGATTTGATCTTTTGTATTTCTGATTGTGTTTATTAGGACTTTTTCTCTCTTTTTCTTAGTCCTGGCTAGGGGTTCATTAGTCTTGCTAACTCTTTCAAATAACCAGTTTTTTGTTTTGTTGATGTATTCTATGACATTTTTGTCTTCTGTATTCCATGTTTGGTCTCTTATTTTGGTTATTTGAATTCTTCTGCTAAAGTTGAGGTTTTAGTGGTCTTCTCTTTTCAGTTCCCTTAGGTGATTTGTTAGG